CTCTTCGCCGGCAATCGATCCCTGTCCGAAGGCCGGCAGAAGTTCGCCGCGAACCACGTTGGCGGTTCCTCCTGCGACGGTAGCGCTGGGGCCGAAGTCGTTGGCGCAACTGCCGGCCCCGCCGATTGTGACAGAAGTGGCCATAGTACCGAGCACAGCAGCGGAGAGTTCGATCGCTGAACTGTGTCGGCTTCAGCGGCATATCAACGCCTGTTTGTTTTGCAGAGCTTTTTTCTATTCTCAAGAGCTGTGGCTCGATTTGATACTAGTATGATCCTTATACGGGAGGGGAGGGGGATAATTTGGTCAACTATGGAGGGATCAAAGGTCGAAGTGATGTGACCCGCACCACGTGAATGCACCTGACCGCATACTTTGGCTACTTCGACCAGGCAACTTTTCTAGTGAGCAGGCGAAGTTCGGCTGAGGGTGGGTTCACAGGTCTCTACTTGATGGCTCTACACGACGATGGGAAGTAGCGAAAGCGCAAAATGCCCCCTCCCCCCTTCTCCGCCGAAAAGCATCCAATTGCCTTGTACTGTACATGTAAGGGAGGCAAAGTGTGTGAATTATGGCTGTTCTTCACGGAATAACATATACCCGTCTCAACACATAGACGAAGGTATGTATAACTAATGCACAATCTCTTTTGGGATGATGCACGCATTCTACTTCTCTTCAGTCACGTGCGGCTTGTTGAGGAGAGTGGCCTATAAAATGGTTTTCGGGGGCAAGCAATGAGCAAGTGAGTGTTTTTCATCCTCCCAGACGGAATCTCCCTCCCGTTCCCGTAAGACAGAAGGTGTGGTTGGCTAGCACGAAACCGATCGGAAGTTTATCGCTCTTACTATTAGGATTGCAAAGTAACCATGGTGCAGTCTTATTTGTTGCAGATGCTGGGACTTGGTCTGGGGCGGCACCAGTGCAACTTCCAAAATTTGAGGTAGCTTTCCTAGACCTGTTTGCCTACTGACTTTAGATTCATTTCATCGGTTCCTGCTTGTATGGCTGGACAGTACTGTGCGAAATTTCGAAATAAATACTGAGGGAGGCGAATGAGCGCCTTTCTTTTTGAGGTTCAGACTTCAACCCGTGTGGGCGGTTACGATGCCTGCTCATGCAAAATCGCAATATCATGTATCGCCTCTATCCAAGCTGCCCTGCATGTTGCTACTTAGCGGTTTTCCCGGCCCTAATTCAAGTAGGTGGCTTATTTCAAACACCAGCATGAATTCAACATGGATTTAGAAAACACAGTCTCAAGAAGTCACACGCTTATTCTCAGGCGCTGAAGTAGCACCACAAATAAGCATTCAAAGCCAACTCAGCAAACTATCATTCTAGTTGGATTATTCAAATGTTTATAATGAAGAAGAAAATTTTCAATGAAAAACCATTCCCAAAATCCCCCAAAAGACTAACCCAACGGTACCGAGTTGTGAGTGGCGTTTCCATTCTGCGGTGATGTCGTTTCAGTTGACGTCGATGCTAAGCCCGGGGACGCGGACGACAGACTCGTAAGGGTCGTTGCGAACCCTGGAATATGATATTTGTATCAATTGCGCTGACAAGGCCTGTAGTAACAGGCTGACAGGTTCAATTTTGCCCCTTTATTGGTTAAAAACGAACTCAAGATTTTTTAATTCAGGTTTTCCATACTAGAGTTCATAGCCTAAATTCCCACATGTCCTAGTTGGAAAAGGATCAGGATCAAAAACACAGCAACACCTTACCAGGCATGAGGAATGACATATCAGGACCACCCAATGCGTACGGTGATACTGGCGGTGGGCCAATATGTTGAATGGCGGCCAAGTTGAAGGTGGTTTGATCTTTTGAGAATTCCTGCAAAAAGCGCCCATTTGATGCTACAGATTGATAGCGTAAATATATCACAGCGCAGGAAGTGAACAGATCAAAAATTCTCACTAAAGAGGAGTGCGACTAAATAGGTGGATTAACTAACTGTTAAAGCTCGTTGTAAGCGTCGGACATGTAGTGGCTTCGACAGCATACCGACGAGTGACATGATCTCCAAGAATTCCCCTTCATCACATTGCATTATTTGATTGATATCGTCTCCCCCTAAATTGGCACGAATTCGTATGACACTAGGCAGTCTCTTAGCCCTGATGGAGGTTCCTGCAAAAGAGAGG